CACACACACACACACACACACACACACACACACACACACGAAGGGGTTAATGTTTCCTATTACTGCTGTAATAAACACAGATTCCGTCCATGTTGCCGGTCAAAATCTGTTATTTTAAACTCCTCTAAACTCTTAATATCTTTCACAAGATCAGTAGAATGCTTTGTGCAACATTTCCATATTACATAATCTAATAGTGACAAATAAATGAACAGCTTTAGATACTGTTGACGTTCCGTTTTTCAGATTTTACAGAATGCGTAGTTGTCAATAATTATCAGTGTCATCTGAACTTTAAGAGATGTATTTCCTATGAATTGAATTCCTAGAAGTGTTTCATCTTATATTAATGCTAATTAATCTGTGTGAAAGAAACAAAGAAGCTTCATCTGGTCTGGACATTCTCTCAAGGAAAACATGTTGTACTCTGTAAGCGACACGTCTGACATTTCTCTTGGAACAAAGAAGACATGAAGCAAATAGAAGTATAGTTCTTCATCAGCAGCGATGAGCATCAAAGACAGGAGCGCTACCTACGAAACCCTCTGGTGATTTTCACACTTATTTCAGAGAGATTGACTTTGAGGTGTGAAATAAGATTCTGCCATTTATAGAGCTTCAAAAATAAACAAACAAGAACAAAGAGTGACAGCTTTTCCATTTCAGTTTTCAAAACCGCAATCTGGTGCCCTATACTGTTGGATATACTGTGTTGTATATGGATAGACCGAGGAGTGCAACACTATTAGTAGAGTGAGACGTTGTGTATAAGACACATACACAGTAGAGGTCTGTTTCCACAAAGTACAAAGTGAGGTCAGTGTTTATAAGAATGTATCCTCTGATTTATTGAAGATCTCTTCTGGGAGTGCAGAACTGTGGATGAAGCCAGAAACGGAAATTCTCATTTTTTAACAGCGTTTCAGTGGCTGTAGATGGATGAAACGCTTTACTCAGAGGGGTGACGACACCCCCCCCCCATCCTGCTTCACTTCTCACTCGGTAATGTAATGCCCACTTGTTGCCATGGTGTCCACCGGTACTTCTGGCCTCGCTCGTTTCAATTCAGAAGGACCTTCCTTTAGTGTGTGCGTGTGTGTGTGTGTGTGTGTGTGTGAGTGTGTGTGGGTGTGTTTGAGCATGTGCATGTGCTACTGCATGTGCCAACTTCCACAAGTGTGTGTTTGTGTGTGAGAGGGAGAGAGAGAGGGAGAGAGAGAGAGAGAGAGAGAGAGAGGCTGACAGGAATACAAGAGGGAGACAATCACTGTTATACGTGTTACTGCTGTTTTCGTAGCTCGCCTACTCAGTTTCCTATTCTTGACTTTCAAAAAAAGTGGCTAAAATGCTCTCTTTACCCCCCCCCCCCCCCTCTTTATTTATTTGAAGAAAGAGAAGTGCACCCAGACCTCCCCACCCCCACCCTCCATCCATCAGCAGCCCTCCACCCTGGGAAGGATCCCCCACAATAACACTGTTTAACCCTCTCAGTGATCCAAAGGAACAAACCCGACAAAGGGCCAGCAACACTGCAGCCTCATCTGAGACCCATTCAGGGCTGTTCATCACATGGGTGACTCTGTGTGTGTGTGTGTGTGTGTGTGTGTGTGTGTGTCCTTGTGGGAACCAATTTCAGTTTTAGAGTGAGGACATTTTGGCCGGCCCGCCTTCAGCACGGACGTGTTAAGGTTAGAACTAGAGCTGCAGACCTGAGACCTGAAACAGACCTCAGACACAAAAAATAGGAATTGAGACTTGACATCGACGTGACCCCTTTAAGACTCGACCCACCTACAAGTGAAAACATTCAAACAAACGATGACGACTCGGACTTGATTTGAGTTACTCAAGACTCGACTTGGACATCTCCCGAATGACTTGAGACCTGATTTGGACTTGTCTTAAATTAGTTGAGACTTTTCACAAATGACTTGCGATGTCGCTTAGACGTCTGTCAAACGTCGTAAAACTTGACTTGAACATTCCTTGGATGACTTGAGACTTCAGAGCATGAAACATCTTGTATAACTTGGGACTTGACTTGGACTTGTCTTGAATCATTTGAGATGTGACTAAAAATTGACTTGATTTGAACTTATCTGGAGTGATTTGAGACTGGAGAACTTGATACCTGAGACTTGTCTCATATGATTAAATTACTTGAGACTTGATTTAAAATTGTCTTGACTGACTTGAGACTTGACTTGGACTTGTCTCAAACGACTTGAGACTCGACCCGACACTTGCTCTACTAGACTTGAGACTCGACTTGATGAGGGTCCTCACAAGTAGAAGTATAAATATGTGTGTGTGTATGTGTGTGTGTGACGGTGAGCATGGGAAGCTGACAGATGCTTTGAGCATGTATGAATGTAAGTGTGCATATGTGTGTGTGCTCTATTGTGCCAGCTCAGCATCCTGAATTGAACAAAAAGCTCTTTTGAGCAGATCTAAAATACATGTAGGAGGTGTGTGTGTGTGTGTGTGGCTGCGTACGATTATGAGGAGTTCATGCCTCTATGTTCATTTGAAAGTATTGTATTTGCATGTGTTGGTATGTTGTTCATGTATTTTTCACTGTTCATATTCTGTGCATGTGTAAGTGTTATTTATTTTCAGGTGTGAGCATGTCTGCATGTGTGTGTGTGTGTGTTCAGTTAGAAACAGCGAAGCGTCTCTGGAGGCAGGAAACATGCAGAAGCAGCAGACCGGTACCTGATGTTTGACCGTCATGAGTTATGTGCTGTGAAGGCGATTTTCTAACAGTAGAGCAGCTGTCGACTCTGGAGATCGTAAAACTCAGTCACATCAACACATTTTAAACCACAGAGGCACATCGCTGACCTATCTATCTATCTATCCATCTATCCATCTATCCATCTATCTATCTATCTATCTATCCATCTATCCATCCATCCATCATCCATCCATCTATCCATCATTTTGATCCACATACTGTGGAGTTGTTATCATGTAACCTAAGTTTGGCATTGTGGTCATGTGATAAGAGCATCACATAAACTGGAATAAGTGAAAGAATTTATCTTTGAATATAATCTTTTGAAACAACATTTTGATGCTGGTTGTTGGAATAAAAATAAAAGGTTGACTTCATAATGTGGTAGTAAACCTTAACTTGAGTGTGTACGTGTAAGCAGGGAGGCACATTTATGACAAGGATGTAAGAAGCTGCGTTCAAAGCCATGCAGAGTGTCGGAGTTCACGGGGGGGGATAAAAGGGGGAGGCGACGCTGAGGAAAACACAGGATCCACAGAGGTCATGTTAAAAAGGTTTATTTCAACAACTGTCTGAATCTCGTTTGTTTATTCTCTGTTCAAAGTCCCAAAAAAGTACAAAAAAAACAACAAAAAAACAAGTACATCAAAGGATTAGAAATCACATCAATGAAAACCAAGACACATTGTGTTGCTTCTTTTGAAATCAATCCAAGGAAATTTTTTTTCTCCAATATTTATACATACTCACTGGATTAGTCAGACAAACATCAAAACCTCTCAGTAACTTTATCTTTTTTCTTCTTCTTTTTTTTACAATGACGTTTTACGTACGTTTTAAACTTCTGTATGATTTCTTTCTTTTTACAAAATACACCAAGGCAGGCAGGGGAAGGTGTGTGTGTGTGTGTGTGTGTCTGTGTGTATACGCATGTCTATGTTTTCATCTTTTCACTCTATGTGTGTGCTTCCTATGTGCGTTTGTTTGTGTGTGTGTGTGTGCGCAGGTAAGAGAGATAAGGGAGAGTAGAGCGACAGCAACAAGGGGGGGAGGGGCTGCGAAACAAGGGGTGTGAGTGGATGTAAGAGGAGGTTGCAGGGCGGCGGCGGGGTGAGGATTGGTGGGAGGGTGTTTACTCTCAGCAGGGGGCGGTAGCGGCAGCGGCGGCGGTGGTGGTGGTGGTGGTGTACGTTTTTTTTGCAGCAGCCCGGGGCCGCTTGGTGGCAGTGTTGCCGTGTTGGAGACGGTTGCAGACCAGGGTTGGTTGGCTGGTACGTTGGCAGGCTGGTTGGTTGGTTGGTTGGTTGGTTGACCCGTTAGGCGCACCCGGCAGCGGACGGACGGAGGGCGGGGAGGGGTTTGGGGAGCTCCCGTTGCCGGCGCACCTTTGTCGTTTTCAGTGTCGCGTTGTCAGGTTGCTGGGGTTGTTTTGTTTTGTTTTCACATCATGTTGTTCTGCAGTGAGTTTACCTCCGAGGAGTTCTCCTCGCCCAGGACCTTGTGGTTCTCGTGTTTGGGGGTCAGGGAGTTGTGGATGTTGAGGGAGTCGTCCTCCTTGGGCTGGGCCTTCACCGGGTCCTCCAGCTTGTTCTGGGAATTAGGATCGTCCTACCCAGAGAGGGGTGGAGGGGCAGGGGGCAGAAAGTACAGTTAGAACCACAACAACCACTTTCATGTTCAGGTGCAACTTTGAACCTGCCAATTGGTGGAAAACTTTACTTTTTTTTTTAAGCCTCTGTCGGGAATTCTGGCCAACCATTCCCATGGATTATCTCAAAGACTGCATTCATCTTTGTTAAAGGCAACAAAAACAGCCTTTTTTTTATAGGAATTACATCCATATTGGACGATTCTGCACCTCACAGTTTACGTCCAATCCCAACATTCAATGCCTGTTCAGGAAGTAGTCTGTCCTTAATGTAGAGAGGCAGAAGGTAAAGATGTGTGGTGCATCTGGTTTTCATACAGAAGACCAAAGTTCACATCCTGTCACAGACTTGCAATCTGTATTTGTCCTATTATCAACGATGCTTCTCTGACTTTAACCAAGTTGGCAACCTTAGTTGCCATGTGCAGATATTAAAAATGTTAGCATTGGACATAAACGTCGTTGTCACTGAATGTAATCGGAAGTGTTTTGCAGAATCGCCCAACATCGACGTTCTTATCATGTGATTTGTTTGAAGAAAACGAAGATGAACTTTGGCTCAATATGCTTTTAAAGAATCCCAGAGCTTTGGATTTGTCTTTTATTTCATGCACTTCCACCTTCATGCTTTAAAGAACCACACCAGTGTCTACGCAAGTTTTATGCTGCGTTCCAGACAACTCAGAGGTCGAAATTTTCTCTAAAAACAACAACATTGCGACGGCCATAATCCAAGATGGCAACAGCGAAATCGCCGAACCCGAAGCTATGGGGGATGTCACGATGACTACGTCCACTTCTTGTCTACAGTCTATGGTTGCAAGCTTTCGTAGGAAAAACACACGAAAAATGAGGAGTAACTTTTCGTAAGATATCATACGAACCGTGCTTCAGATTCTGGGTCCTGGTATTGTGATGGCTCACTTTAATGGGACGCTTTGATAGGATAGAGCTATCGCTAATGTTATTAGTAACACCTGTGCTTTTTATTCTTTGACAAATCTAAATACCTGCGGTGAAAAAGACCATAGAGAGACTGCTAATAGATTTTAAAATTGTATAAAAAAATAACAGAAACTTAAGAATACCTGGAATGGTTTCTAAAAACAGCAGCATTGTTTAAAGATGTAAATTGATTTGTAGAAAAGGCACTAAAACTCTGGTATGATCCTTTACAGACTGCAAGAATGCAGGAAAAATACCATCAAATATTCAACTAAATCAAATTGCAGCTTTCGCATTGTTACTTCAAGCAAAACCAGCTTCGGTAGCAGCCATTTCAGTGGTTTGGATGCTCCACTCTTTCATGCTCGACTGGCATGTTACGTTTGGTTGAGGAGACAGTGAGGTGAGCTGCATGAGCGACATACCCCCCATCGCTCCTCTTTCAGGCAACCCAGGAAGCGCATGCACATCCACATGCAAGACCCTTAAAATATGCCCCCCCCGCGTACAGTAATGATCGCTCATGCAGAACTCCCCGTCTCCTCCTGCTTCACCTCCTCCTCGAATTCATCTTCCCAAAACAAAAGCAAAGAGTGAAATAAACTCTCCACCCTGGGTACCACCGTCATACATACCCAAGCAGTCGCTGGGGGGGGGGAACAAAAATAAAAAAATGCGACGTATTTTTTTTTTTAGCTCAATCTAATCCATCTGAATTTAATTAAGGTCAGAGGGAAGAAATTGATTGCGGAGTCCATTTCAGCTCGGTTTTTCCAGCCTCTTATCTCCATTAATATTGCATGGCATCATCGACCCGAGGCATCCTGGAGCGCCCGTCACACACACCCCTTTACGGAGACAAACACACAACCTGAGTGTGGCGAGATGGACACATTCATTCGGACACACACACACACACACACACCCTGAGGCCTGTGCCATTAACTAAACACAGCCTAATTGAATGTTTGCGTTTGAATACAAAGGCACTTTGGGAAAGGAAGAGCAGTGAGAGCATTTACCCGCTGGCTGCTGGCCTAGATAGTAACTTCAGGCAGGACGTGTGGATACGTCACTTCCATGGTTACGGGATAGGGGCCCTCTGTCCTCCCGTCAGCGTGAAACTGGAAAATGTTTTTCGTTTGTTGGATTTCATCGTTGTGCATGGGTGGAGGGTGGGTGGGGGGAGGGGCGGGCGAGCAGTGGGTGGGAGGCACAGAGTCACGAGGACTTTAGAGCGGGTGTCATTTCGAAGGGGAGCAGGAACAGATATAAAACAGGGTTTTGATGATGATGATGATGATGATGGAGGCACACGGACAGTTCCTAATGTCCTTTTGTCTTTTAGTGGGCTGGTAAGAGTGGATTTGCTATGAAGGAATACTTCACAAAATTACCATCTGTACTGTATATCAATTGCTCGACCCGCGTTACCTTGAATTCTTGAGGAAAACTTTTGTATTCATCTCAACGATAAACCAAGAGTCAAAAAACTGAGAAACAAGTCTTGTGAAGTATAATCAAAGTCTCATTCATCCAATCATATGCTCAGTTCTTCACAAACACGTGCATCTTAGCTACAATCTTACTATTTAAAACACTTGCGATCAGTAGTGAGACTGTTTATGTGAAAGCAACGGCCGCAGACGCTTAAACGCATGTTATTATCGGGGAAAAAATGTATTCAAGCAGATGTTAAGATCTTGCTGTTGCTTTGCTCTAAGATGAAGAGGGGGAACATATACAGTATATGTAGTTCATCGCTAATATTAACAATATTTTTCTGGTGATGCATCTCGGTGTGATCGGGGCCCAAGGTTATTGCAAAAATGTGTGTGTTTGGCAGGGGTCAAATGCAGAGACAAATTTCCCCCTTAAAGGGATCAATATAGTATAATTAAAAAAAATAAATATATATATGTACATATATATATATATATATTTTGAATTTACATTGTTTGTGAGTCTATTATTGTAATACATTGCAATCCCTCCTCTGAATACTCTGCAACGTGAAGGTTGTTCCTCTGGAAAGTCTTCTTCGAACAAAGCGTTACATTTCCACTGCAGTAAAAGTAGTTTTGTTTGCTTGGAAAACATCGATAGCAACAGAGCTGCTCATGCTAACTGCCTGCGGACGAAACTTACAGAAAAAGCCAAGTTTCAAAGTCCAAAGAAGAAAAGTGTCATATTGCCGCCCACACTGCGATCTCTGTTAAGTGCTGTGCAGGAAAGAAAAGAGATAAAGACTGAGAACAACTTTTTAATAAGAAATCACTGAATTGAATCACTCTTGTTGGTCCCAGTGCTTTATGTTCTCACTGCATTAAGTATCATATGAAAGCTTTTCAATTAAAGGGGCAATTCACTCAATCTTTAAATGTCTAATTGTACTGCCTGCCTGCAGCTTGAGGTGAATTCACTGTCGATCAGTCAGTCCGAGAGCAGAGTCAGTCGATGGAAATGAAATCGTCTCGGAAATTCAGGGCCAGCGCTGCCCGGTCAATTCATTTTCTGTGTTGAATTTATTTAGTATTGATGAAACACAATTCCATTTCAGCATTTTGCCTCAGAGGAAACCGTGTGGCTGGACTCTGCTGGATTTACTGCGGAGGGATGATTGAGGACAAGAGGGTTCAACCTACCGCAGTGAATGAAACACAAAGTGTTCTGAAACTGCAGGGAAACAGAAGTGCTTTTTGTGTTATTGTTCGGAAATGACTGCCGTGAGTGTGTGTGTGTGCACGTGTTTTTTTTCTGCCATCTTTCTGTTTGTGTATGGTTCAATTTCTTTTTGTGTGTGTCTGTGTGTGTGTCTGATACGTCATCTGTCTGGATTTAAATCAAGGTCCTCATAAATTCAGCAGTTTCGTGCAGTTTTTAAAAAATGTCCGTTTGTGATTGGATTTTGATTTGACCACATGATCTTCATTAATGTGTTTTAAAGGGTGATTCAATGATTTTTAACTCGGCTTACAAGTAACTGTGTTTTTTTGTGTGACAGACAGCTGACCCGGTTGCACCGAAAACGCAACTTGAGTCATTCCAGGTTCATTTTACCCATTTTTGAACCAACCAATCATAGTTGAGAAGTCTCCGACGCAGCTGTCAATCAATGCTTGGGGAGCTCATGAACTCCAATCAAACTGCCAAACTCGGCAGCCCCGATCGAACATGAATCAAGACTCTGTTTCTGTGGCCTGTTTCTTGGCTCAAGTGTTTTCAGAAACATATTTTGGTGAACTGTTGAAAAGAGTCGAGCCAAAACAAAGCGACGCCCACCGACTTGAGCAACCTTTCTCATTTCACGGCTACATTTATGTTTCTGAAAACATTTCAGGCCGAGAAATAAGTGATGCAGTATTGATCCATATGTGATTAGATGCCTATTTTGATTAGAGTTCAGAAGAGTTTTTCTTCAGGGGCGGTACTAAAGCACTGAAATGAGGCAGAAGAACGTCGACAACGATATCTTTTCACAGATTTTCAGTCTCATGTACCACTGTGAGGATATAGTGACAGTTTGAGAAAATATGATAGATGATAGATTACCGACTGTAGCTTTAACTGGTGCTCATAGTTTACTCTCTTTCTATATGTTCACTGAAGGTGTTGGTAAACCTGCGAGTGTGTGGATCTGTCTCTTATCATGTTTTCCTGACTTTTTATTTATTTATTTTGGTGGGAGGGGGTACGACTCAGATGGGTCCACTGAGAGTTGAGAGAGGGTGATTGACAGGGCCACAGTAACAATGAGAGAGCTGTTTGGGTAGGTGAGAGAAGGGGGAAGGAGGGGGCGGGACTATCTGACATTTGGGATTTGGTCTTACCTCGCAGTCGGACTCCTCTTTGGTCTTACACTCCCAGGTGTATCTGCTCATGGTTTTCTGAGGGGAGGGGGATGGGGCAAAGGGTTATACTCCTCAAAACCATACAAGGCATCCTCAGAGAAAGACAGGACAGAGAGAGAGAGAGAGAGAGAGAGAGAGAGAGGGGGGGGGGAGAGAGAGAGAGAGAGCGAGGACGAGGACAGAGATCGAAGTGGGAGACGATACGGAGAATTTAGCGAGAAAGAGGAGGCGGACAGAAAGAGGTAGAAGCAGACAGATAAAATAGACAAGAGAGAGATCGAGTGTTGGAGACCAAACTAGACTTCCTCTCAGACGTCAGCTGATATTCCCAGCTGGCTACAGTCTCTCTGAATGTGGACACCGACTCTGCTCAAACACAGACTCTCTGGTGCTGGTATTCCGTATTAGCACAGTAAATACAGGTGTGGATAATTCTGGATGAGGTTCACCACCGTCTTGACACACACACTGGGCTATTAGTTTGGAAGGGAATTGAGGTTATTTTGATTTATTGGTGGGTGTGTTTTTTTAGGGGGGAACGGGAGTTGGTATGGTTTTTGGTTTGGGGAAACCTACTGCATGTCTACAGTGAGTTTTGTAGGTGGTTTGAACATGTATTAGAAAAGTAAACCCGGGCTGAATAGTAGTCGAAAATCTTTCATTCTGTTTGTTTTATAACGTGTAACAAAGAGTTTACCCCAAAGTGATGTCTTTCCTCTGACTGTCTTAACTAATTCATCACTAGGGTTGGGGTTTGATACCATTTTGTCCAATTTGAGTCAATCTGCTTATCAAATTGGAATCCCTTCTCCAATCTATTTAGGTTTAGCTTTCAACATTTGTTGTAAGATCGTTAATCGCTAACGTTGTCGTCTTTAGAAAAGTGGAAACACTTCAGATCGGTAAACAAACACCTTATTTTTCATGGACCACTTGCTCCGGATGCTGGAGGCCCAGATTCTTCTCTATAAGGCTCTAAATATTAGCCAATTAGAGAATTTAGATTACAGAAATGTATGTGACAACAGGAGATGCAGAGTGGTGCGCCAGACACAACACATCGGTAAATAAAGAAGACAAAAGCCGAATTTCATTTTTATATTTTAAAAAGTTACACAAGGAATCAATGTCAACCGGTTACGGCTAATATGTATATCGTATATACTATAGGACCGCTGAAAGTTAGAAATGAGCACACAGCTACACTAATGTTCTGTACATTGCTTAGTAGATTTTGAAAAACTGAAACCAGATCCAAAATACAACCTGGTATCAGAACCCAACCCTGTTTGTTAGTTAAAGGTACCCGGTGCAGTTTTCGTGTAACAAACTAACTTAAGTTCTCATTCACAGAGTGTGTACTTGATACCCAACAAACACACTGAGTGTATTTCCTTCCTCATAAAACATTTGCAAAGCTACATTGTTTGCAAGCTTGCCGGCTTCTTCTCTGCCTTTTCTGCCGCATTGCTACGTTTCTTGGCACATTACTGCCACCAACGGTTAATCAGATGTGCATCCCGCGTGCTTGACTTCACCAGAGCACCTTTAAGTGTGCTGAAACAAACCAAAAGTATTTACAATTACTATTCAGTCCAGTGGATGAGTCGGGATTTTTTTTTGGGGGGGTTGTGACAGGTGGTGTTGAGTTAGGAAGTTGACTTTTATTTTTTAGATATTGTTAGGAGGTGAAGATGGATGTTGTTTTTGTTTTAAATGACTCTTGGGATGTCTTGTCTCTCAGAGTAGTGAAATGGTATTTGGTAGTGGTTACAATGAGTGGGTGAGACCTCTAAAATAAATGAAAATGTCTAAAACTGTTGAGCTAGCATGAAATAAAATGAGAGTTACAGAGAAACGACTAGGTGCTGTAGCGTCACAAGTGAACAGAACTACTGATGGAGTTGTTAGAGGGTGGTACCACATCCTAAAAATACTGGAAAACAAATCAAAAACAAAACTCGACCTCAGTTGTAGCACTAGAACTACCCATGCTGCTACAACGATAGCATAGCCGCTACTAGCTACCCATGCTTCAGTTAGTGAGGCACCTGTCGGCTCTCTGCTGCCACCTGCAGGCCGCCACAGGGGGGGTGGGGGGTGGGGTGTTGCATCTCAGATGTTTATCCTGATAACCCCGACCATTTCACACAAATGTCCCACACCTTTAGCTTACCTGTTTGTGGCACCCATCCTTCCCCCCCAGAAGCAAACAAACAGAATGAATCATGTTCGTCCAGTTCCTCCCACCTCCCCCCCCCACCCATTTTCAGGATAAACAAGTAAAGCAGACATTTAGTCATAAGTACAGATTTGCAAACAAATAGCGAAGCGCAGCTGCAGCGGCTGACATGACCACCGGGGAGGCGCATGTCAGCGACAGAGCAGGAAGGCCATGACACACCGATGCAAGAGGTGATCAGAGAGAGAGAGCAGGTTAGAAAGAGACGGGGTGGGGAGGGGTCGCAGCGAAGGATTGTGGGAGTTTTTCTCTCACCAGGACGGTTTGTTAGCTTCACTGTGAGAACCGTCCATGAACGCTCAGTCTGCACGGTTTCAGGGGGCAATTTAACGTCTAACAATGACTGTGTTAGTACCCTGTTGGTACTATCCTAATATAATACATAAGAATGAAAATATTTCAAGATCCATGGATTTAAAAAGTTCTATGATGGTATAAAAAACACAATCAAAATGTCTAAAATATTCTTCTTTGTGCATCCTGTAGTTGTGGATTCGCATTCGGCACTCGAGAAAACTCCCGCCATCCTTGGTCGCAATTCGACCCGCCCACCCTCCCCCGTCTCCTTAGCGTTGCACACCTCGGAGTATCTGAGAATACTCATGCCCATGCATTAGGAGGGGGAGTCAGGGGGCACCGGGCAGGGTTTGCAGGGGGAGATGCAGAAAAAAGGGGTGAGAGAGAGAGGCGAGAACCACGTTACCTGACAGATAATGTTATCATAGTAAGCCAATGCACGGGCATGAGGGACGTTAGGAGGGGTGTCGCACAGTTTCCTTACATTTGGGTGGGAGCCCTCAGCGATGGTGGACAGCGAGAAATTATCATTGTGCTGCTCCGATGAAGGCCGGTACTTACTGCTGGGTGTCGGAGGATGGAGGGGGAGGTGATAGTGGGGAACGGGGGAGGAGGGGATGTGGAGACGAAGATGGGTGAAAGGTGGAGGAGAATACAAAATGATGTGGGGAAAAAGAGTTTGAAGAAAGAGATTGTGGGAGAACGGAGGAGGAGAAAGAGGAGAGTTTGAAGAGGTCGGAAAAAAAGGAAAGAAATGTGGAGAATTTAAGAAAAAGAGAGATGTTTGGAAATTTAGAGAGAAGGAAGGAGGTTGGAGATGAAAATGTAAGATAAGAAGAATAAAGGGCATTAAGGAGAGCGAGACAAAGAAGATGGAAAACAGGGGATTGGATAAGAAAAGAGACAAGCCAAGGGAAGAAAAGAGGAGGGTAAAGAGAGTCCAGATAATAAGAGTGCAAGACAGTTTGAGGATTTGAAAAGAATCCAAGAGGAGGAAAAGAAAAGGAGGAAGAAGAGACGTACATGACATTTACAGGAGGTGATTCACAAGGTGAGAGGTGGAGAAAAGACAGTCGCGCAAAAAAATCCAACAAGAGAAAAGACGAAGAGACGAAAACAGACAAGTGGGGAGACGGTGAAACAAAATGGAACCAAAAAAAGGAGAAAAGAGAGGACAAGCAGGGCAAGAGAAAGGACAGATTTAGGGGAAAATATTACATTATTGACGAAAAGACAGACAGAAGGAAAAAATAAAGAAAGGAGGGGGGGGGGGGGGAGAAAAAAGCAAGAAAGCAGCATTAGTTATAGAAGTAAAAAAACAAAACATCGTATCTGTGATGCAACATACTGAGAATAAAACGACCATCAGATTTAGGTTACCCGGTCCTCAATCGAGTCATAGAGGCTAAACTTTGACTCACATTTGACCCACTATTGTTGTAACAGGGAGACAAAAACTGACTCTATTTCTATTTTTAACAACACACAGGTCTTGATTCTTGTTCGCTCGGCTGATGATATTGATGCAAATGATCATGTTAATTTTTAGATTGTTGCAAACAAACTAACCCCACACTTTCCTCTTAAACCTCACAGTGTTGACAGATTATTGAGAAAATGTCTCTTATCATATATGCACAGAACAAGAATAATATGTGATACTATTTTGCCATCTGCACACACAAAAACATCCACCGCTTTTAAGCATTTTTGGTTTATGGAACGCTCAACCAGATGACGTTAAAACACAAAAATTTGGCAGAAAAAAAATCTCTCCAACTCTGCAATGTATTAATTTTTGTATTGCACACCTTTGCCTTGTTTTCCACTTAATATCAACTGAGAATTTGTGCATGATTTATGAGTATGTTGTGTCTTTTCCTGTTTGTTTAGTGTTGCACATTTTAATTGCCACCCAGATATTTTTCCAACCATAGCAAACTATTTCTTTAAGTTTGGCTTTAAGATAAATGGATACCAAATAGCAACTTATCTGACTTATCGATCCATCCTTTAAGGTTCCTTACAAACACAGTCCATAAAATAAAAGGATAATAATCACATCCACTAGGCGAGAAACTACTTGTACTATTTTAAAACAGACGCAGACTTTCCTCTCATCTCCTCAGAGAAGCGGTAAACTTTGGGAGTTCCCCTTTGACTGAGTTAGACTGAACTCTTTGAATATCTCCCTCTTTCTTCTTCTTCTTCGTCTCTGACTTGTTGAAGGGAAGAGATGTTTGTCTCGGGGACCGAATGAAACAATAACTTTGACAAGAACGTCACAGTTTTGTCTCCTCTCTCTCTCTCTCTCTCTCAAATCTTCCTTCTCATGGATGAAACGTCTGTCGTTCGCCCGGCACTCAAACCTTTACTCAAACGTCTCGCTGTGTCTCTGCCTCTCTTCACTCCCCCGCCATATCCATAGTTAAAGAGGCCGCGATCTACTTCCTGCCAAAAAAAACCAAAAGACTGTCTCTCTGATCTTGACGCAAGCGTCCATATTTATATTTCATGAACGTCGTGACAGGACAACCAAAGACGATGTAACGACGAGAGACAGAGATCATGTTCTCCCATCGACACTTGTGATCTCAATGTTGAGCACCATACATCAGCTTTGGACTCCTCACTCTCATTTTCAAATTGTTTATTTTTCATACAGGGCACCAACTCACAACAGAAGTTATCTTATTATGTGTTTCATATGGAGCAGGTCTAGATCGTACTCTTTGATTTACAGAGACAAAACATTCCCCCGTGAACGAAGGTGGCAAAGAAAAACTCAACCTTCAACAGGAAGAAACCTCGAACTGAACCGGACTGTACGTGGGCAGCCAACCGCCTCGACCGATACCAGCTACTAACAAACATCCGCTTCTGCCGAGTGAAGCCAACGCTGAAGTGTTTTAAAACTTCTCTCTAGTGGCCACCAGGGGGCGACTCCTCTGGTTGTATAGAAGTCTATGAGAAAATGACTCTACTTCTCTCTTGATTTATTACCTCAGTAAACATTGTAAACATGAGTTTATGGTCTCAATCTCTAGTTCTAGTTCTAAAAGATTGATTGATGAATATCAGGAAGTTATTGGTTGAAAGTGGTTTGTACCAGCTTACAAAAGAACACTTTATATTTTGTTTGATAAGATGAAAAGATGATTGGATATTAATATGAAAATACAAAGAAACTGATAATTATTTTTGCAAATACTGTTAAATAGGTGCACAGAATGACCAATTTGTGACCTAAAAGGGTTAAAAAGGCATTTTTCATTTCATCTCGACAGCACGGTTATTAAAGTATGTTCCCCTAACCTTAATGAAGTACTCGCCCAAACCACAATGTTTTTTACAATCTTAACTGAGTACTTATTGTAACCTGAAAAACATAACCATGTTATTTGTGTCTAAACCTGGACAGCGATGTCACAACAGAAAACGTCAGTAGGGGCGTTAGATTAAAATAAACACTTTGTGTGAAACGGACATACCGAACATTTACCTAAAACAGATTCATGTCTTTACATTAACAGACAGATGGAGCCGGCGATGAAACAGATTCTGAATCGTCTCACAACAAAGACGCCATTTCTTTTCTTCTCTCTCTCTCTCTCTTTGACCAGGATGTTGGGTCTGATCTCGACTGCGGCAGAGAAACACTGCGACTGCCATTAAACGCAGCAGATGGGGGAGTGTGGGAGTCTTATGTATTCATCAGCCCTGTCAGCAGACACACACACACACACACACACACACACACACACACACACACACACATACACACACACTCCTCTGAATGTGTCATGCTGAGATTTGTTCCTCTGTAACGACCCTCTTATTCCTCTTTCTCTCTTTTTTTCTTTCACTTTCTCTTCCCCTCTCTCCTCTCCTGCAACAGTTTCTCCCTCCCTCTCCCCTCCTCCCCTGTTTCATCCTGCCCTCCTTTTTTTTTACCCCTCTCATCTGTCACCCTCCTCCTACTTTCTCCTCTTCGATTTCTTTTAGCCGACCACTTGATGAGGCTGTGTTTTCTCTTTCATGCTGCACCCTGCCGCCACACACACACACACACACACACACACACACAAACACACACACACACACACACACACCCCTCAGGTCGCACAGCTGTATGTAGGTCAACTCCACCTCCCCCTGTTTCTCCCTCCCTCCCTCCCTCCCTCCCCCCCTCCTGTTCAGACTGCCCTACTTTCAGCTGGATCCAGAGAACCAATGACATCACCCTTTTCTCCTCAAATATCTGCTCGCTAGGCTGCTACTGACTGCACCGCTCTTCCTCCTCGCCATCCTCCTCATCCTCATCCCTATCCGTAATCTCCTCCACCGTGGCTAGCATGATAACCTTCCCCGTGGAGGTAAAAGTAGTCCCCGTGGTGGGTGGGATCTAGAATTCGGTCCTTCCGTTGACATTTTGCATCCGAGGACGCTCTATCGCCGGGGCTGCTGCTCATCCGCGACAGCGCTGTTGCTAGGGAGACCAGCACTAAAACACGGGCACCGGCAAAGCAATGCCTTGCCAATCGTCATTCATGAGGTTCTTTAATCTTAAAATGAGGCCTGAGGGATGAATATTATTTTAATATTTTATTAGGAAAAACAAAGAAAATTGCGTTCTGGAGTTTTCCAGCTCCACATTTTCCACTGCACAATATCTCCACCTTCTATCATCATTTACTGTAGGTGCATTTTCGAGCCCTAAAAGTCAGATGTGATTATTTGTATTCGAAACTGTAATAATGCAAAAAGATTAAGTTCCAATTGGATGTCGATCAGATCAAAAGTAGAAGAAGGTGGCAGAGAGCAAAGGAAGGCTAATAACATGTGAAGCTACAGGTATCTCCTTGAACTCATTAAATGATGTGTGTGCCACCTCCGTGTACTTTTAAACATATTAGACAATCTTTCTGCAGATTTACGTGCCTCAAAAACACCAAAACAATGACTTGAGATGAGGTGGAGACTCCTTCTCTTGGGTCATCCTGAACTCCCATGCAGAGAACCACTGTTCACCGAACTCCTAATATTAAGACTCTAAAGTGAAGGTAGAGAGAAAATATATGATTTCCTACTTTGTTTGAGGATTCATCTGAACCATGTTGGTTTGTGGTATGAGAAACATTGGCTAGAAGGGATTTAGAGCCCTTTAAAGGTCCTGTGTGTCCTAAACAATAATTACCTTTAATGCATCTAAAACGTCTCTACAGAACCATTTCCTGGTCCTTCACACGGAGCCTCTTTTTCCTGAGAGTGTACACCGGCTTCTTCCTCTCCTCTCATCTGTTCTGTCATCTGGTTTTCTGCCGGCTGCTCGCCATCAGCTCTCCACGCCGCCGCCCCCTCCCTCCTTCCTCGTCTCCTCCTGCATTTCTCCATTGTCTTCCTCACTTGTTCGCCTCCTATTTGCAGCAGATCAATCCTCTCCCCTCTTCCTCCCTCAGACAGTTTCTATCTCTCTTCTTTGTCGTTTCTTTAGCCTTTGCTTTATGTGATGGCTACAAAACTGGTGCACACAAATATGTCTCAGCTGATAGGTAACAGGTTCCATCTCTATCATATGTCTTGTCTGAAAGTGTAACTGTGGAAAGAAGTTGTTGATGTGGAAAATAATTGCTTTGTTCAGGGCACCGAGGACTCGTGTTTCTCTGCTCCTGTGGAGGACCCATGCTGGTGTTCACTCATCCTGCCTTTCTTGTTTAATGTCTCTCCAAATCTCAGGCGTCCTCTGTTTATGAAATAATGCTCAGCTGTGAGCTCCTGACATTTTAGAAAAAGTGTTGTCGAGACAAAATGAAAAAAAGGCTTTTTTAACACATAGATCACATTCTCGTTTATATTGTGTGCAAAACATTTGTATCTTTTCTTTCTGTAAAACAAAATATGAAATGTGCTTACAGAAGCTAGTACCAACCGATTTAAACCAATAAAATCATGACATACATCCATCAATGATCATGTTCTGTAGCTGAAGCTATAAATACACTTACTACTGTTTCAACTGGACTCTAAAGGTGACAATTTATATCCATTCATTTTTGGATCGCGTTAACAGATTGTAACGTGACTTAAAAAGTGAGACTTTCTCGGTTGCCTATAGCATAACTATTTGAAGGACTCGGGACGGTAGTGTGTGTTTATGCCTCTCTTCAGCTCCTAACTTTCACCTAAGCTAAGGTTAGCCAGCTAGCTGTAGCGTAGCCACTTAGCTACAGCACGTTGCTTCGTAACGCAACATGATTAAGTAATTTGCGAACGGTAAGCTAGTTAGTGTCATGGAGCCAACAGTCCAAATAAAATAAAGGAAAGTAAGCACACTATTGCTGACTGCAGTTCATTTAACGACCACCAGTGTCATTCATAACAGCGTTCCACGTTGTAGCATACCTTTTACCTTTTACCTAGTCTTCACACATATAAACACAGAATTCAAAACTGCTTTTGGGAATATTTGTAAGACAACTGCTCTCTAATAAATAGAGAACAAACCAAACTGAGATGCTGTAGATCAGTGACTCCCAATAAAAGAAAATATTTAAATTAGGTTGATTGCTTTTTGCTTGTAAACTACTGAATACTTTCCCCTCTGCAGAATTGCTGATGTATCCCTCAGGCTCTATACTTCTAATTCTGGCAGTTGGTATCTTAACTTTAGAGAGAAATTTAAATCTTCAGTGTGTCAGAGCGAGAAAAGATGGACTCTCCACAACAAGAGTCTGGCAGCCATCCACAGCATTGTTTTTCTCTTCAAATCTCAACCCTTCCAAAGAATAACAAGAGGAGGAAGAAGAGGAGGAAGAAGCCATGTTGGTCCAAGAGGTCTTTCACAGTAACAAACATTGATTTGTTTTCTACCCACTAGGCCCACTGCCTCATGCAGATCTGTCATTGTAAAATGCCACAGTCAGGCATCACATCAAATGACTGTGATATAGCAGTATGTTGCTGTAGTAGTACTGCACCGAACTGTGATTTTACAGTAAAATACCCATCAGATTATTATAGCAGTATGCAGTTGTAGAATTACAGTATATTTATAGCTATAGCTATAGTTAGCCTTGCAGACTCAAATTTCCTGTGTGATATTTGATTTCACAATACAATTCAGTATTGTGAAATCACAGTTTAAGCATGTGACGTAATAATAGTGGGACTATTTCCCGTCTCTGAGACTTATTTATAGACATATTGACTGAATATCTGTGAGTGTTTAAACCTGTTGGTTTGTCTGCTTTAGCCTTATTTTTTCCCTTATTATATCTTCTGGCCCCTGTGCCTCTGTATCTTTGTATCTTTATCTATATCTTTATCAACCGGTCTGTCTCTGTCATTCTCTAAACTTGAACTCTCAACACAACTCGGGGCAGCCGTTTGGCCCAGAGGCAGCGGCACCGGCCTCAGAAACAAAACTTTCTCCTTCGATCTAATATTGAGGGAGTAATGTACCGCAGCCGAGACTCAAGCGTCTGCTGGGCGAAGGATAATAAATCTGCTGAGCCAGGATGCCCTTGAGCAAGGCACTAAATATTTTACTTTTTTATTTTTGTTTGATTGATCTTTTAAACTGAGACAAATGAATCCACTGAGCCTGCGGGACACGTCGTGCACACTAAGAGGAGATCTTGACAGATGGAGTTTCACTTGTGTTTGTGTATTTCTTCATTAAAACGTGCTACTTTATGGGGAAGAAAGATATTACATCTTTCTTTTTCTCTACGATCTTGTTAGGATTACTAAATATAAATCTAGGGAGTATGAGCCTAAAGTTTATCCCCCAAAATATAACAAAATACCCACATATTTTCTTTTTCTGTGTGAACGGGAGTGAATAAAGCTTCCTTTAAATGAGACACTCCTCCAATTAAATAAGGGAAGATGAAGAACTTCCAGTTTTTTATCCCTCAGCTCAGACTCACCTGCGCTTGCGCAGCTTCTTGTTCTCCGTCTTGAGCACGTGGAGCTTCTTGGCGAAGCAGACAACGATCATGAAGAGCAGCAGGACCACCAGAGCCGAGGCGCCCACGGCCAGACACATCACCTGGAACTCGGTCACCACCGACTCGCAGCGCGCACCCTTGTGCCAGATGTAATCCTGGACGTTACATCTGACAGAGAGACGGAAAGAGAGAAGAAGAAGAAGAGGAGAAGATGGGAAAATGGTAGATGACAGAGGGAACGTTTTGAGAGGAATCAGAGAGGATGGAAAGATGAGAGGTGGGAAATAAAAAAGAACAAAAGAGGAAATGGTTAGTTGGATAAAACCACATCTTAGTGATCCCACAAAATGCTCGGACTCAGTGAATTGTGTGTCAGTTTCCACGTTCGTTGCTTGGCAACATCCATATATTTGTCTTTTAAGTATCATTTAACAGGCATGTTGGCTTCGAGCACCCCTCCGCATGTTTGTGAACATTCAGGATTTCCTCTCTGCTCCTGATTATATCGAAGTTGCTTTGGTGTGCAGTCGGCAAAAATAGCTCTAAAAACTGCACAACATGTTACATAAGTGCTATTGTGAAGTAATCGACCGCAGGCGTGTTAGCAGGATGGAAGAGTCGCTTTCAGGTTTTTGCAGGCTGCTTTATTCAAAGGGGACAGTATCATTTTGTGTGTCTGTCTGAGAATAGAAAGTTAAAATGAAAAAGAGCCCGGGGGCCCTTTTTCAGCAATACACACACTCTGTCAAACATCATCATAAAAGACATTTGCACTCATAAGATCTTACACAATGCATATGTGCGTCCCATGTGTGGATGTAAATTACGGGCACATATGTGGACACGCACGCACGCACGCACGCACGCACGCACGCACGCACGCACGCACGCACGCACGCACGCAAGCACGCACGCACGCACGCACGTACGCACGCACGCACAGGTCGCCATCTGAGTCCCGGGCTCCCCCTTTCGAAGCCGTTTGGCAGAGTACGGTGTCCGCCCGGGGACAGAAAGGCAGATGGCTTTGCCTGCAGACCGTTTGGCGTGCAAAACGGCAAATCTATTTCAGCTTAAAGCTGTTTCACTGTCACATGAGTGGAAGATCGTGTCTCCATTAGAAATACTAGATTCATGTTGAGTAATTTAACACCCCCGGAAAATCTTCGTCTTTGCTGAGATCCGGTGTTACATTTTTTCTTAACACACACATATATAAACAAAGGTTCAAGTTAAAAAAACAAACTCAATTAGAGTTATTAGGGAAAAACGTTCCATAATTTTCCAATAGGGTTTAATCTAAATCATTTTATTTCCAGTCAACTCTTTGGTGACAGAAGCTGTATAATTACATTTATGTAATTTCTCATTCTCCAATGTTTTAAAAGATTGTTCTGCTATATATTTATACTTATTATAGGATCTTTACCACATGTCAATATTATATACTTTCATTTTGTCAAAGAGGATTTTTGTGTGTGTTGTTTGGTAAAGAAAGTCTTGTGCTATTTTCCCCTTTTGGTTGCTTTTGACCACGGGGCTGTTAAAGTGGATGAACACCAACAGAGTAAAAATATCCAGAACTGCCAGAGGGAGGTTTTCAAGCATGAAGGAAACGCTGTTCGTTTTCTTATTCATGTATTTTTCATATACATCAGAGCACCCAGGGGTCATGAAACCAAAATGACCACAGCCGCTCTGAAGAGAACAGCTTTAATTAACGAATGCAAAGCAATTAACTGTCCTCCTCCCCTCTCTTTGTCCCACACGGACATCGCACCAACACACACACACACACACACACACACACGACGAGGGAGCGTAAAGTGAACGGAGGTGTCGGGCCGCTCCGGCTACGCTCCCTACATGCTAAACAGCCTCCTTTTCACCGACCCGGTTCCTATCTCCTTCCTGAATACTTGACGCTTTTTCATTCTGCCAGCTGAAGGGAAATCGCTGGCAACGAGCTGGGAGACATTTTGAGAGTGGGCATATGTGAGAAAAAGAGAGAGAGAGAGAGAGAGAGAGAGAGAGAAAGAGAGAGAGAGAGAGAGAGAGAGAGAGAGAGAGAGAGAGAGAGAAAGGGTTGATGCCCGATATCACATTTTCAAGGAGACTTCAATGCATTCAACCTGGGAGCAACTCTGCGCCCGCACAAAGAAGAAGAAGAGGTTTATGTAAGGCATAGATGGGGGGTGGGGGGGAGAGATGCAAATAGAGAGCGGGAGAGAGAAGCAAAAGGGATGCATGAATAAAATAAATAAAAAAGGCCGAGCGAGCGAGGATGTGCTGGTCGTCATGGCAACCCAGCTGAGCGGCAAAAAAAAAACCCAGAGCAGATGCGGCGCCGACATGTCATTCCATCACAAGTCCTCGCTCAGCCGTCCACGGGGACACAGTCGGGCTTTTTTCGTGGCTATAGCTGCCATTTCTTTTTTTTCTTCCCCTCCGTTTCACTCCCTCTGCCTCCCTTTCCTCCCTCCCTCCTTCTTCTCTCTCTCGCGCCTCGTCGTCTTGAAAATCTCTTTTCTTGTTCACTGGCTCTTTTACCTCCCCATCTTTCCTCCCTCCTGCACTTTTTTTGCCGAGCGCCTCCAGCTGAATCATGTCTCTGCTTTCAGTTAGTGCAACTGATTTTCTCTGTAGGAAAACAGTAGTCAGAGGAGAATGTTCTGGTTTGGCTTTAGTTAGAAATAAATGAGAAGAAAACTAAAATTAACTGAACTGTACTAACAAGCGTTGCCTGGGCATCCGAAGCCTGATATATTTTATTCCTCTCAAAGCCATAGAGCTCCACTCGTCCAGAAACTATGCAGCCATGCGAGTGGCTTTGTGCGGAGACATACTGTGAAAACCACGGCCGACAAAGAGGGGGGAACAATTGCCGCCACAATAGGCAACCAAGAGCTAAAATGCAAACAAAAGGTAGTTGATAAAACTGCAGATTTTAGCATTTCAAAGGATTATTTAAGCGTCCTGTGTCTACCAGCAGTTGATGACTAAAAATCCCACAGTTTTCCCATTTTTCATGCTGATGCCTCACTTTTGTTTTCTTAAAGACTCCGTTTTTTGGTACTTATTTGTATTTTTCAGTTGTTTTCTAGCTGACAAAATGACAATGAGACACCTTCACGCAGTACAAAGTCAATGGACAATGATGAATTGTTTTTCCTCCAGTGTGGGCTGGACCTGATTGCGCTCTACAGTCTCTACACTGAGCGAAATACTAGCGTCAGCATGCTCAAAATGATATTGCTAATATGCTGATGTGATGTTTACTATCTCAACCATGTAAATTTAGCTTGTTAGCATGCTGTCATTTGATGAATAAAGTTTATATGAGGCTGACAGGGATGTGGTCATGGTGACCTGTTGGTGGCGCTAGATCTCAAGTCAAGGGATCACCAAAGACTAAAGGATTCATCCTCCGTGCACCATGAATGTCGGTACAATATTTCATCACAATCCATCCAATAGTGGTTGAGATATTTCAGTCTGGACCAAAGAGGTGCACCGACCAACATCAATGGAGCTTTGCCTCTAGCAGAGCTACAAGCTATTCGGTGAGCCACACCGTTGCACTGGGTGACATGTTCCTTCATTACTGTCACAACACACACACAGTTTATATTGAGTCGATCCAACATACACCATCCTGCTGCAGTAAATACTCACTCGAGCACATTTAGCTGCCACTTGGCATTGTTTTTCCTCCAGATTATTGCTCACAAAAAAAGATTTCTTTCAACCGATGTGTTTGTTTTCAACATTCTTCCCGTTATACATTTTATGAGCAGATTTGTAAACTGAAAAGTCAAAGTTCCTGCAGATAGCTTTGCTGTTAGGACACCAAATGTTTATTAATCTGCAGCTAAAAATAGTCAAGAGTTACGTTTGGTAAAAACAGTGCCGACGCATTTTTGGTTCTGGTCTTTTTGTCGGAGACTAAGAAAAACCCAGAATAACACCGGCCTTATCTATTAAGATTTGGAACAAAGTTAGAGAAGCTGACACGAGAGGAAACAGCTCTTGGCTGAATTTTTGAAGACAATATTTAGGATTGGATTTCCTTCTCTGGAAAAGTCTCACGTCCAGAGCAGCTGCACAAATCAAATTGGAAAAAGCTCCTCTTTGGGGACGAAATAACTTCGACTGTCAAACCTCTTTTTCAACGTTTAAATCACAGATCCCTCTCTGGCTGAGAGTGTCGCCCAGCCTCCCTCCTTCCCACTCTTCCCTCTATAAAACCTCCCTCGTGCCCAACCGGCCTTCACATTGTGTCCCACCGCAGAGGGTTCTTTCTCCTCCCCAACCCATCATTATCTCCATCGGCGCGGCTCACCGCAGCCGCACTTATAGCATTGTTGCAGCCCGGCAGGAATACATCAGAATTAGCATCAGGGCGGCCCGAGCCACACGACAAAGAGCTAATAAATCCTCTAATATTTACCTGATTAGGCTGGCCCGCTGGGGTAAGAAAGGGGGAGGCAGACAGACAGAGAGAGGAAGAGGGAGTCTTTAATTTTACTTACAGAGGGTGACAATGGTGCAGGTGGGGTTGTGGCCCTCTAATGAGACCCCCTGCTGGTTTTGATGAAGAGTAATGGAGATGAGGGGGTTGGTGAAAAGGCCAATTTAAGACACACCGGTAAGTCGGTTTAGGGCGATAGGCCACCAGAGAACAGGCAGTGATATGTGTATGTTTGGAAACTGAAAATACTGATATCTGCTTCCACCCAAGGAGTCAATAACGCGGGTTAAAGTGAGATTACATAACATTTTCTCAATCGAATACATTCAGAGGTTTTGTCACCACAGCCTTAGTGCGCAGCAGACAGCAGATTTTCAGCAAAAAAAAGCTTTAAATCTCATGTACACTATCAGCTCAGCACCAAACAGCAGACAGACAGTTAACTGGTGGCAGGCTGATCTCAAACAGCGTTCGTAGCCATACCTGCAGAAAGACCGTATGTATGTAACGAGCACAAAATGATGCTAGATGTTGCTGGACTTTCGTAGGAAAACGCGCTAAAGCTAAAGAGGCAGATATTTCCCCCAGGAGGTGGTGGAGACCAAAAGCAGAGCTAAAAGGAGAGTGACTTTAACAGCTGTTGTGTAAATAAGCAACTGCTTACTAACAAGTTCACCATATACACTTAAAAAGGTGA